AGTTTCCTGTGTCGTGTATAAAGAATTGTATGTACCAATGTACATCAACATTAGAGACACCTGAAGAGCAAATGTTATTTAATATTAACTCAAGAAACCTACCATGAAGACTTAAAGCAGTTCAAGACCAAATAGCAAAAATAAGATGTTTCTGATCGATCTTCTCAGATTTGCATGAATATTTCAATAATTGTTTTTTTATCATCATTTGTGCGAAAATTTGGCCATTTTGAATTTCGCAATTTCGATCAAAATTGTGTATTAAACATTTTCAATAAATCGTAGCACGAAAACGTCACTTCTAATATGACACCTGAAACAATGTTGTTGGAGAAAATAATGTCTTACTAGGTTATACACACAGTAAATTTATTTTAGTAATTTCGAGTCAAAATACAAAAAGATTGTTAAAAACTTAAATCACAAAAATGACCTTGTTCAATATTTCTGAAGTAAAACAAATAAGCATATGACCATGCTTGGCATGCCAAGTTGTACACAACAACTGCTCATTTGTTAATAACTTGTTGTTAAAATTTATTTTTCTTTAAAGTAATTGATATATTAGGATCATAGTTTACTATGCAATGAGCATGTAAATCTTAATATTTGAACCAAAACCAATGAATTTTTACACTTAAAGTTTGAGATGTGCAGCGAGCATTTCTCACTTCATTTTTACAACGCAAAAACAAATATAGTTTATTACTAGAATTAAAATGAACTTTTTGTTACGTTTATATAACAAACTAACTCTATTCTATCTACTGCTTTAAAAAGAACTAACGTCAACTCTGTGCAAAGTTATAAGCAAATGAGCAGTTCATGACCAAAATTGTGCATGCCAAGCATGCATATGACAAATACAAACTTTTAAAATTTAAAAAACCTTGGACACAAAAAATAGACAAAAATAGTACAACATTGGTAACTTTTTAAACTTTTTGTAAGTTCGTTTTTTTACAATTAGAGAGAAAACTCTCTACAACTCGATATCGAAGGAAGCATCGAGTTATAGAACAACAATTATATAATTATTAGTCACTGTAGTCTGACGTGATATCGAGTTAGTGGATATCGAGTTTTGTAGAATTGACTGTATATTATAATTCTTGCACAGAAAACAATATTTGAGTCCGTTTGATCGTTTTCAACAAAAACAGTTCAATTAGTTGACAAAAAGTTGTTGCAAATTTTTATGTGTCAGAGATTTTTTTCCTTGAATTGCTTTCCGTCGATCTCGTTTTCCGTACTGAGTATCTATGCTACCGACGCCATGGAGGCAGCTCCCACACCTGAATCCTACCGGAACCGGGGACCAAAGGCTTTACTTCCCTGGCGCTGACCGGGATTGAACCCAGGCCTTTTGGGGTGAATGTCAAAGTTTTTCAATATTCCAAAGGTTAAAATTTTCAATATTCCAAAGGTTAAAATTTTCAATTTTTTTTTAAAGCATCTAAATTATTGAACAAGGACACATTACATCCATTTCCCTTATATGATGTAAGTTTTTAATACTTTTTTGAATGTTCTACTCAGAAATTACTAGATAATTTTTACCGTGTATATTTTCACTAGAAATAATTTATTTTTCCCTACAACTTGGTCTAAAACGATTTATTGAATAATGTCACGATTTTGATAAAACACAAATAAGATTCAAAATGGTCAAATTTTTGCGCAAATGTTAATGATTGCCTAAATTAAACAATTATCCAAAGTTTCATGTATATCGGAGAAGGTTAAGTCAGATCGATTCATTCTTTTCCGTGGAACTGCTCTAAGTCAGTTAGTAACTTAGACAAATAAATAGGATTTATGTCCTTAATGTCAGCCTGAACGTCACTAATATTGTACCCATGCTTACATGTAAAACTAATTTCTCTAACATCCAATGTAAGGTTTGGATTTATTACATCCACTGCATATGTTTCATACAACAAATGAAATGGCACTTCTTGCAATGGATTTTTTTTTTTGCAGAATGCATATTTTGAATAAAACCTTCACGAGATGATGTTCTAGACGTAATGCATTTGAGGAAACAAATTTTGTTTCGAAAAATAAGCTGACAAAAAATTACAAAATTATTTTAAAAACCTTCCGACGACCACATTATAGAATCTGCTCCTGTCACGAAAGGCAATTCCCCTACCTAAAATTTACTAAATTTATCCACAGAATTGACGACATTGGCAGAGAATAAATATAGTAGATGGACAGCAACCTTTTAATGTTGCTACGGAAATTTTAAAAAAATGCTGGTATTTTGCCGACAAACTGAGCTCTCTATTTAACCATCCAAACGAGCAGAATTGTTTCTTTTTCAAACAATGTCAACAACTAAATCGAATGAAAATGAAATCATTTTGGGTAACTCGTCAATTCGCTCCATAATCCGTTTTTTTTTTGTTTCTTTCACGGTGAACATCGAGGCGGCTAGTACGAAGGCGACAACAAATGTACCATTGATAGTTTTTTACAAATATTGATGGGAATTTGGCAAAAGAGCATTTCCAGGTAAAGCAAAAATAAATTTAATTTCAGACTCGACATTCTCCGATTTGCATGAAACTTTGCATAATTGTTTGTTATGATCAATAATTCACATTTGAGCTAAATTTCGGCCAGTTTGATAATGCTCTTTCGGGGGTCAAAATTATATTTTGGACGCGATTTGCACTGAAAAATACGAAACAAAATAAAAATTGCTCTAGAACCTCTCATAGAACATTCCGGAACTAGCCTAGTATGACAGGAGCGAATCAAAGCTTTCGTTTGGTGGGTGTTTCAGCGACACTGATTTGTTTGAATAAGGTTTTCTTTCCGAGACACCGTGAGGACCACATGTTAATAAACAAAAATCATTGAGCAAAAACATTTGGAAATTTCGTTGCCTTTTCAAATACACAATTTTTGAGAAATTTAGCACATAAAAAAAATTAAAAAGCTATTTATTATTATTTCTTGTGTTGCATAATAGACATAATAATTAATAATAAATTAAATGAAAGTTCGATGCATTACGGTGTATATGACAGTATGCAGTGTATATGCAGTATGCAATTTATTAATTCTAGCATAACATGCGAAAAGGGTCTAACAACAACGCTCTTTTCGCACAAACCAAAGCTCCCCCACGCAAACCAAGAATAACAAAGATTTTTGTTCATTTTCAAGTGTTCAATGATTCAAAAATAAGCATTTTTTTTTTAAATAAAAATAATCAAAAATGTTAAATAATGATTTTTTTTTTGTAATTTAAGTTTTTAACACATTTTTGAATTAGGTTACCCAAAAAAATTCTTGTGTATATTTGCCCTATAAAGGCTTTATTTTTTTCAATAACTTTTTCTCAGACTTCATTTCGATTAGAAATGACTTTTTCATACTACAGCAATGACCCGATTTTGTTTAGCCCCCTTAAAGATGGATGTATAAGGTATACTTTGGTGTAATAAGACCACTGAAAACGCACATGGGTATCGTAGAACATTAGAAAAGATTTTCGGCAAAATTTGGTAATTGCTGTATTTATTTATTTTTTAATGTCGAATACCACATTAGCCAAATATTACAAGATTCAAACAATTATGTAAGGTTTGATGCAAATCGGAGGAGGTCATGTCTGATTTTTATTTGCTATATATTAAAACTACTTTAATATGATCTTTCGACCGTTGATTTCAACCAAACAATGTTTTTTTTTTATTGGTATGCTATTATAGCTAAACCCTGTTAAGGTTGGCGTAAAGTTCTGGATTATTTGAAGTAATATATGACTAATGCCATTGAAATGTTTTTGGCACTCTTTATTTCTCTTAACGATGTGAAGAAACCCTTAAAGATAATGTTTGAGTCCAATCGAATTGGAAAATAAATCGATTGAATACTTCCTGCTGTCCCATTATGCACTATGAACGTGATGCCAAGGAAATGAAAACCAGAAACTTCCAGACAGCAATTTAAAATTATTTTATGCGGCAATAGTGAAAAGATAAGGAAAGATGTTGCATCGTATTTAATTTCCTCCTCGCTTTTGTGGAATGAAATATGTACATGCAACGTCACAAAGTATTACGTTTTTTGCAACCGTTCCAAATACTTTTGAGGGCATCGAATGCAAAAGCTGATTCATATAACTACATACTACCGAACCGAAGGTATGCAACGGAAGACCTCAAAACTTCAGATGGCTCCGGTAGGAAACTTGCGATTTTTACGTACTAATGCGAGATTTCCAACGAAATTGCCGAGACAGAAAGATCGCGCGCCCATGGCTGGGAAGCGAGGAAAGCAGCAGACAGCCGCAAAAGCGAGAAAAAGAGCGCTCGGAAAGCGCCAAAAAGAGAAGAATAAATCATCCAAAATGGGAAATTTTGCCCACAAGAACGAAAACGGATGGACGGACAGACAAAAAAAAAATAAAAGCACTGCCTCGCGTGTATGTACGGATGTTGATCGAAATGTTCCGGCCATTGCAAATCTCCCGGCCGACTCGAGTGAAGAAATCTTTCTTGGAAAAACGTTCGGCACCAATCAATTCTTAATGCAATCGAATTTCATTTCACTGCGGCTACTGCTTTTGGTCCGTACAGCATCCGTATTCGATAGGCTAGTCGGGTCCAGAAGCAGGTGTCTTTGACTGCTTGTATGGACTTCTTTATAGACAGGCCTATTAACCATATAGCGAAAGACAAGGCGTAATATCTAACAGTATGTATTTTTTATATAGGTTGCAACATGTCAACTAAGGAGGACTTGGCATGGCAGCAAAGCAACGCGTACCGGCCATCAGACGACGTTGTTGCAAGAAATACGCCTAATCATCTTCTTCTGCGGGATGCCGTTTTGCAGACGACGTGATTATAAATTATGCAGATATTGGTTATCACGCTGCATCGCTGTGCAGAGTGGAATGCATCAGAAGCAAGGAGGATAGCAGGCAAAACAAGCGAAAAAGAGTATCTAGGCAAACGACTTCAACAAACATTACTTACCATATGCCATTTCGCAGTAACATTTTGTTCAAATCCTTTAAAATGACTGGTCCGTTATACAAACTTCAATAGAACAGGTTTTAAAGCACACACGATGTTCAGTATGCGAAATCGAATTTTTAATTGCAGATAAACACTATCGGATTCTTCTGACACAATGATTATTCTCGTACAGAACGTGGAGATGGTGCACACTCAAAATATGAAAGATTCAAGCCACTTAGATTGTTTGAACTTTCCCACAAAAATACCACACTACTCGATTAGAACAGGTTAGACAATTATCGTCATCCCTTGGATTTCACCTCTCTTCATATGTACGCACAAGCAGCTAGGAGAAGAGCTTGTCGAGACTTCACACACTTGTATGCAGAATGGTTCGGGTCGGAAAATGCCGGCTAAGTACGCGAGGTGCGCATCTATTGAAAGAAACACGTCATAAATGGTCGACGGACTGGCCAAGACTGAACGTTGATTTACTTTTTTGTCTTCCGAGTGAATTTTCATGCACGAGCTGATCCTCAGACCACAACATAGCATAACAACACAGCCCCAACGAGAAGCACAAATAAACGCTGCCAAAGAGAACGACCCCAACGCTGGATTCAGTGGACCATTCACTACACTCCTGCCTATCTCATCCGAACGGCTGCAACGGAGATGGAGTTGGAGTTTATTCACTCTCTTTCTCACTACACCATTTGCTCCATTCACTGTTCTCTATATACTGCATAGAGTATATCAATATAGAGCTGTAAAAAGGGCCTAACAGCTTCTATTAACAATGACTTCTCTCGAAGATGTCTAGGAATTCAAGATTCACCCACGTAAACCAACATCATCAACGGGTAGGGAAAGACTTGGTTTGCGTGGGCGTGTCGTGAATTCCTAGAAATCACCGAAAGAAGTAATTGTTTACAAAAGCTGATAGACCCTTTTCACAACTCTGTATTGATATAGGTAGATTACGGGATTCGGTGGCAAAAGTCACTCCACTCTACAGTAAAACACTGGCGTTCAAACGAGATGACGATGACGATGATGGCGGTGGCGGTGTTGATGTTTGAAGCGTGCAGCTCATGAGAGAAAAAAAACAGCACCATGCTCAATCCACCCACTAGCTACATGTGGATGTTTGGCAGTGATTGATTATTTATTAATGATATGAAAAATTATCCGATGGGATGTTGTTAACTCAACTGTTATCAGGATGCGTCTCAAATTTCATAACGTGCACTTTTAATTGGTATCTTTCGTATCCCCGTACTGACATGTTACCAATGTTACCACAGCCAATGTTACAATGTTACCACAGCCAATCTTCTTGGATTTTAGACAGTAACTAGGAGGTGAACAAATATGAGAAATAATAAGAAAGGTTTCTTGGGAAAAGCAATATAATGATAATTCTATCCACCCATCGCCATCGTTCGGTTGTCATACAACCAATTGAACTGATTCCTTGTAAGTTACTAGTATCAACACAGGTTGAAAAAGTAGTGTAAATTTCAGTTAAATACGATTTACAAAAAGGGGGCATCATACATACTATTGCAGATTATGCACGAGTAAGGACTTCCGGATAAACTGACACGATTGGTCAAGGCGACGATGGATCGAGTGATGTGCGTTGTGCGAGTATGGAGGACACTCTCGAGTCCCTTTGAATCTCGAAGGGGGTTACAGCAAGGTGATGGACTTTCGTGTCTGCTATTCAATATCGCGTTAGAACGAGAAATCAGAAGAGCTGGGATAGTGGCGAGTGGCACGATCTTCAGGAAGTCCATCCAGCTTCTTGGCTTCGCCGATTACATCGACATCATGGCACGGAGCTTTTACTATAGATGTTTCAATTTCTCTAATATCGCTCTATATTTGGTAATAGCGGCCAGAATGTTTTGAAAATTTTATATGTGGTTTCCATGACAACAATAAACAAGCCTATCGGTGATGTGATGAAATTGGGTTGTTGTCCGGCACATATTCAACTATCAATTTACCCTGTTTTGTAATATTTTTACATTTTTATCATACTTTAATTGTTATCAAATTGGTTCGGTCCCGGCATATTGGTTAGCACCCATGCCTCTCACGGTAAAGGTCACGAATTCCAATCTCATCCCCAGACAAGTGAATGACCTAAAATGTGTAAATGTAACTAATTAAAGTTCCTATGATAATGCTCAAAACTGTATTAAAGGTAGAGAAGTTAAACTATTTATGAATCATATCATCATGGGTCTGGTTTTACAACAGTGAAGAATGCAATTTGATGTATTGAATGACGGATTTTGATCGCTTTATTTGAGGTTATCGAAACATGTGGTCAATGTCGTCCCGGACACTCAATATAACCTATACGACCTAATATGATATTTACATGTAAGTTGATGCGTCACATGATGGAATTTAGCTCAAGTCAGAAGCTGGTGACATCCAAGGAGTACCCTTGACATGTCTGAGTTCGTCTAATGTGGTTCTGAGGATTCAATACCACCCACCATGAGTGAATTGGAGTAAGGTGGGGCAAAAGTTTGACCTTAGATGAAAAAAAAATTAAATTTCTCTAAACAAGCTTTTGGAATTAAACTAATTCGATACACATAATCTTTCATTCAAGGTTTACAACTTTCTCGTACATGGATGATTTTCCTGCAAATTTTTAGATACCCTATGATGGTGTGAAGGACATAAAGAAACCACATATTTGTACTCATAGTTATTGTCAAAACTTGGCGAACACAATAAATACAATATGATCGCAATTTTTTCGAGGTTCGAGGTCACATTCTGCTCCAGTTATGATTTTTTAGAGTAAATAAATACGTTTTAGACATTTTTGAATGATTACATGGGTTAAGCATTCAATTCGAATTTCTTCTCCCTCGCTGACTAGAACTTTTGCCCTTTTTGATTTCTGTATGGGGGTACACTTTGTGAAAACCGAAAATGGAACATGTAACAAATTAAGAAAGATTTTGAACGTTAATAACTCAGCTGCCCCTGGTCCAATTTCAATAATTTAATCACCAATCGATCAGAAATATGCTTCCGATTGTTGATTTTTAACAAGAAACTATTGAAAAACTGGTAAATTTCCAGCATTGTCCAAAAGCGTCGAATTAACTAACAAATCCACCAATTACCTACATGCATAAGCTGCTTCCCCAGCACAGTCATCAGAGAGTAGTAAGTAGACGCAACATGTCAAAGTGGCATTCGCTTCCGATCCTCGGGTGTGTGCGAATAGGGAGGATGGAATTACGTAATATTTTGCACACTCATCGCCATATTCAGAACCAAACGCAAATTCTTCGAGATAACCACCATCCGTCGTCTAGCTCGCCGTGGCGGTGTCTGACGTATCTCCGGTCTGATTTACGAGGTGAAAAATGAGATCCGTGATGCTGTCACCTACACTAAACACGCCAAGCGTAAGCGGCCATGGATGTCATCTACGTTTTGAAGTGACAGAGACGCACTCTGTTTGGTTTCGGAGGTTAAATCACCGACAAACCAACATGAATGACCATAGCAAAAACAATAACATTTCTGACTAAAGCACACTACTGACATCTGGCTCCGTGTTCGCGGGAAATTTTCACCTAATCCATGAACCCGCATGCAAAAGTTATAAATTGTTCGTGTCTGATCTATTCTGGACAAATTATTTTTATCTAGATAAAAAATCCTATGGTTTGACAGTTCGGATCACTGCACATTTAAATCGGCCGTTTACGATTTTCGGACATAAGTCAGAATTAAGTGTCATGTCGGTTTGTCGGTGGTTAAATCATCACCAACTTTGGGAACAAAACGGCTCCAAGCTTATTACAGTAAAGAGTAGGAAAAGAATTCATCTGCCTGTTTGTCCATATTCACAACCAACGATCACACAAAATTCTCATGTAAACAAACTGGAAGCAGGGGTACAAATTATTTTGATCAACCTTGATCAACTTTGAATCGCCACGGCCGGATATTTTCGATGGAAGAAGCAACAATCTAGCATCTAATTCGACGAAACATTTGTGAAGCCGAGTTATTTATGAAAGAGAGTGTCGATGAAGAGAATCGATCAAGGTATATAGGACCTATTGAAAAGTGACGCGAGATTTGTTTTCCGTACTGAGCTCCAATGCTACCGACGCCAGGGAGGCAGCTCCCACACCTGGACCCTACCAATCGACCCATCAACTCAACCGGGGACCAACGGCTTTACTTCCCGAAGGATCAGAGATGTTATGCCTTAGAACATGCCGGTTTGAGTTTAGTTATCTCAGAAATAAGAAATAAAGTGCAGGAACTCAGCGATGAGTAAATTTGCCTCATGTTTTCCCAGGTTTTTTCAGGATTTTCCAGGGAAAAATTCCTGAATTTGAGAAAAGTAAAGATTGGATTCACTAAGTCTATTGGCACAGACAAACAGACGTAACACTTTGAAAAAGTTTTTCCTGAAAACATAGTATCTCAAAACATAGGACCTCAGTAGCGACATCTTTCAGGCTTCTCGCGGAAAACAAGCTTGCTCGCTAACTCGCAAACAATATTGCATAAAAGTTCTATAGAATGTATAGAAACGTCAAAGTGATCCGATGCCAGCGCTGCGGCGAGTAGTTCGCGGAACTGATAATATTCAAATCAACCGTTAAATGCGTGAACGAAGATACACAATGAAGAGTTACGTGCTATTGGTACCACTCCGAGACTGAATAAAATTTTCGTCAATTTCCTCATTTTCTGGCAGATTTTTTAGGTTTTCCACAGGAAACCATGAAACAAATTTACTCATCACTGAGATCCTGCACTTTTGGCGATTATGAGTGAACTAAACTCAAATCTGGGTCGTTCTCATTCGCCGTGTACGCAAAAGGAAAAAAAAACCGGTGTCGCTACTTGATAGCAAACTACTCATAACGGGAGAAGTCTTTGTAGCTTTTATACCACTTGGTTGCACATCATTCTGCTTTAACCTGAAAAGATATAAAAGAGCGCTGCTGTATGGCATTAGCTCATTTTCGCTTCGGACAGCGTGGTGAACAGCAATAGCAACAGTAGGAAGGTGGTGGCTAGTCCACTCCTTCACAAACAAGCAACAATTGACTGGTCGTGGTAAAGGAGGAAAAGGTCTGGTAAAGGAGGCGCCAAGCGTCATCGCAAAGTTCTTCGAGATAACCGCCATCGGTCGTCTGGCTCGCCGTGGTGGTGTCAAACGTAATTCCGGTCTGATCTACGAGGTGTGCTGAAGGTGTTCCTGGAAAATGAGGTCCGTGATGCTGTCACCTACACTAAACACGCCAAGCGTAAGTGGCCATGGATGTCCTCTTCAATAAAACGGGCCATCAAGCTTACATCAGTAAAGAGTTGTAATAGAATTTAGCTGTGCTTGTTTGTCCATATTCAGAACTACAAGCCCCCAACGACCACACATAATGCTCTCCAGAGTTGTAATCTTGTAATCAAACTTGGAAGCAGTGGTGCAAGTGATTTTGATTGATTCTTTTAATCAACTTTCTCTTTGAAAAAGATCACTACAAATTTG